CTGTTGTTACTGAGACTGCACATGAAGATTCATTAAAGAAAAGAATTAGTCTATATTTTACTCATTAACTACAATACACATCATTTCTAAATATCGTAGCTTCATACTCTCAGTCTTATTATACATTCAGCAGACAATATATTAGGTACACCTAGCGATGTTCAGAATCACTTAAATCACCTTTTTTATTAACCCATTCAGATGTTCACTTTCAACTGCATTAGGGCATCTTCACCTTATATACACGCCTGAATACATGTTGCTGTCATGTCATTGACTGATTAGATATTTGTGTCAACAAGCATTTAAACAGGTTAACTAATAAAGTCAGTGGTGCGTGTACATTTAAGTATTTTTTACTCTTCTGCTCTATATTTAATATAGAACTTAATATGTTTAAAGTCTTACTTGACATAGGTGCTGATTTTTAGCCTTGGTAGGGAATGCACAAAAGAGCTCACGTCTTCATCTTCCAGCTGGTTACTTGACAAACTGTGATGAAAGAAAAGCAGAGCTGAGCATCCTTACTGGATAAAAGCTCAGGAAGAAAACACTGGATTATCGATGGCTCCATGGGTGTGATTCTAAGATTGTGTGTCTAAATGTTTGTGTGGCTCATACTCAAGATCTGAAAGCTGGGGACCCTGCTGCAGGATCTCAAGAAGTTTCTTCAAGTGGTCACCCTTCAGGCAAAAATGAGTTAACCTGTGTTACACACAATTAGGGAGACAGAAAGAAAACATAGCACATGAAGTTGATTAATTACTAGTTATAGTAATTATTGTAAGATGTCCTCTTTTACCTGAACTTTCTAATTCTGTGGTGATTAAAATGGTAGATTGTAAAATACAGGACACCCAATGTGCTTCACACTATATAATATTGTCTTTTTCAATGAGTACCATAAAATCTTTAATTAAACTGTGCATTTTTACAGTTCTATATTTAAAACAGAAAATGACAACATATATTTTTAGTCAAATTCTAAAATAAACACAGCTTGAAATGCAGTTTAAAATGAGCAGCTAAAACTGCTATAGTGTATGAGCCGTGAATACTTGGGTAAGTGACAAAGTGAGCGGTCTGAAAACACCTACAAATGTTGTTAAGTCATCAGTAAGCAGTGAAAATGTTGCGGATCACAGACCTGCAGCTCACTTGTTCCACTTTCACTGTATCAAAATTGATGAAGGAGTCACCCTGAGGGCTAAAGAAGAGATCAAAGCAGCAATTAACCAAAACAGGTCAGTTAGAGAATTAAAGTAATTGCAGCTACAACTAAAAAGTGTGGTAGGGAAAGGAGCATCACATGAACACTCAAATATGGTGTGTTGTGATGAGTGCCACAAAAGTATTCACTGTACCTGAGCTCCACCGACGTCACTCGCTGACTGTCATTCAAACAGCTGACCAGCTCGAGTGCATCGGTCGCAGATGTGATGCTCTGTCTGACACTATTAGGAATACAGAATGAGTTCATTCGAGTTCATTGATAATTTATTAAATTAATTCACAGCAGCTATTGTCAAATAAAATATTCATCCTAAACCTAAATGCAACAATATAATTAAATATCAATCAGAGAACTGTCAGTTCAACTTGGCTGGTTTAATAATTGAAGCAACAGATTCTCATATGAATATAGTATATTTCATTTGATGAGGTTCTTAGTATCTTACACAGTCTGAAAATAATTTCCAAACATAGTTCATAGAATAGCCACAATTTGCTTTGCCAGATTTAGCCATACAGGCTAAACTTCATCTGTAGTTTCTGGTAGGTTGATAGCGTTAATGAATAATAAAGACACCAAATGCACAAAGGCAAAATATGTAAGTGACAGAAGCATATATATGGTAAAAGAAAAACATACTGATATTATGTATTAAACATCAAAGTTTTTAATTTATAAATATCTGCAAATCAATTTTTTTGTTCTTAAAGTCATTAAAGATGTAAACATTACACGAGATTCATGTTCATGATGACTACATGTAGGTTTTTGACCACAGCTGGGGTACATCTGGCAAATTTTACAAATTTTAAATACTTCAGTATAAAAAATAAAGACAAAAATGAATCAATATAAATAAATTAATCTATAGACTGAATAAAAAGGACCAAGAATTACACCTAAAGGCATTTCAAAGTTATTGTTAACTATTTGCAGGGTTTAATTATACATTTGCATTGTTGTTGTTGTTGTTTTTTTTTTTTATCTGTAAGAGGATTTTCTCCAGTTAACTACAAGGTAATTACATAATGTCACAAACTATATAATAAAATTAAATGAATATGTCTAGAGAAAAATGATACACTTCTAATATCACACTTCCAATTAGAGCCGACAGCATAAAGTGAAATTAGAACAGAATTTCTGCAAAATCTCCTTGCAGTGTAGATGAGATTGCAACGTTCTGCAATCTCCTATAACAATAGTGATCTTCCATCGTTTTTTTCCCCCTTGTTTTATGGACCTAACATATACCCTGTGATAGGAATAGCATAGATACCCATTAGTTAAAAATAACTACACTTAAAATCACCTTCCAAATATTCAAATTTTGTGCTCAGTAACCTCAGTAGGGTTTCCTTTAAAAAACAAGTACTCAGCAGCTTTTTTCCATATCTTCACATCTTTTCCCTACTGCACATATACTGTACATATTAACATTTTAAATCCAGAATAATCTGACTGTCTATTGCAGGTTGTAATCCAGTGTTATTATTAATACTTGCATTAGTGTGTATGCCTTACTTGAGTCTCTGCAGTGACGTCATCTCTGGCAACACTTTGAGAAGATTCTTGATGGCTTTGTTGGTAAGTGAACACTGAGATAACCTGACAGAACACATTAGTGCATGAACATGAACGTGTTCAGTCACTACTTTAGATAGTGTTGAATAATTTGCAGATATACAATAATAAAGCTTACTCTAACTCCCAATGGAAGTGACTCTGGACCAATTTTCTACATACTTTGGTTATATCAGATGGTAGGATGCTGCTGTCCTTTACTCTAGATAGAAAAATAAAAGGGGATCATTCTTTTGTATTCATAGTCAGAGGTGAGATTTGTACTTTTCTGCATGTCTTTATTTGCTCACTGTACCGGAACATCTTTAGCTGCTGCTTGTCATCACTGAAATAGAAATACAGTAGAGTTAGATTATTAAACAGAAAAACTAAATGGAGACAACAAGAATCAGACTGTGTGAACGTTTGCATAGATGCAGGTCTTCTACCTTTCATCTGGGCAGAACTTTAGATTGACTTCCTCTTTGCCTCCGCCACTGTAAAACCAACAGAGCACAACAGCCAATTATAATTAACCTGACTGATTACTGTAAAGCTATATGACCAGTGTTGGGCAAGTTACTTTGAAAAAGTAATTAGTTATAGTTACTAGTTACTTCTTCAACAAAGTAACCGAGTTAGTAACTGAGTCACAATATTATAAAAGTAACTAATTACAAGGAAAAGTAACTATTGCATTACTTAAAAAAAATGTTTAAATATGTATAAGAATCCCCTCTTAATGGAACTTACTAAAATACTAACATATAAATAGCTAAACATACTTGAAAATATTAAAATATATATTCAACTGTTTGTTATAAAACTGAAAATATAATTGAAATAAATGGGCAGTTAACAGAAGGAACTAATAAGAAACATTGTACACTAATCTAAACTATTCAAATGTTACTCTGTGAAAATATGAAATAAAACACCAATCAGATAAACTCTAGGTAGAACAATACAACACACTATGACTACCATGACTACCTTACTCTTCCTCAGCCAATCAGCAGCACTCGTGCGATTGTTTCGCACCCCTAGCCTCCGGTAAGATGACATAAGCGTCAACCATCTGTGTGTTTAAAAATAGTAACACACCCACGGTGTTTTAACGATAGTAAAAGTAATTAGTTCGATTATCTGTTACTGAAATAAGTAACAGCGTTAGTAACGCTGTTTATTTTAATGCAGTTATTCCCATCACTGTATATGACATGTAGTGTTTTATGTATTTATGTATTTATAGTATTTTTCAAACAGATAGATTTTTTTAAACCCAGACCGGGATAAGAGACACAAGCGGTTGGGTAAAGCAGCTATTGGTATCATTAAATAACTACAATGCAAAACAAAGATTACCTGATGTGAATTTCTGTTAAGGTGTTATACGAGCATAGAGCTGCAGCCAGCATTGCCACTCCTTCCATGTTGATGTCATTTTTACTGGCACTAGAAAAAACAAAAGCAATTAGCACAAGGAAGTTGGTGTTGGCTGTTTGGAACCTGTTTGGTGAGAAAACAGCTTACCATTTGGCTACCTACTTTGTATATCTCATTGTAAAAAACAAAGAGTCATCTTTCTATTGAAATACTCGCAAATTACTAGAGAGGCAATAGAGGGAAATTCTGCCACCAGGGTCACTTACAATATAGTTGTTGGTATCTTTAGCTATAAATATCTCAAGGAAAGCTTTAACAGAGGTAGAATTGTTAATTAATTATTAGTTATAATGATTGTGTGTGAGCATTGTGACAGACTAGCAGCCTGTCCAAATATCTACCCCCCCACAGACACCCTATGCCACCCTATGACAGGCTCCAGCCTTGTCAGAGAAAATAA